TTGTTGGTTGCAGAATGCCGAGATAGACTGTAGAGTATATCTCTGAGACGATGTGACTGAAAAAAAATTGGTTGAGTAGCAAGATCGCATCTGGATGATTCTATGGTGATTGCGTGGATTGGTCTGCATGTGTATAAAACCAGTGATGTTTGGTATGTGAGAAAATTATTACTGAATATGCTGCCCGTGAAGTATAGGTATTTAGCTGTGCCAGACGGGTCATTTGTGTTGTCCTTTCGGAAGAGAGGTTATGTTCAAGGTTATAAATTACAATGTTTTCGTTTGAGTTTTCAAAAACGTTGAGAAGCATTACGGGAAATCACCACCATGCCCGTGTTGTGTGTAATTAAGCCACATCACAGACAAATTAGTAATATAGCATCACAAAATATTTTCGCAGTGTCTCACATCTAGGCGCCGATCTGATAAATTTCCATAAAATTCAAATAACTGGAAATGAAAAATAAGGTTAAATGCAATAATCGTCTCAAGTTTCATATATAGGTACTCCTGTCTGTAGCCTATTTTCTCACCTGTTAGTTGTAATATAATTCATCAACCAGAGATTTTCTTCTCTCTTTTTTTAAATTCAGCAAATTTGCATATTTAATTTCCAGGATGAAGCATACATTTCACGTAAGTGTATTTGAGACAAGAAACTAAGATAATCATCGTTAACACAGATTATTAGCACACAAATCCTCACCATGCACCTATGCGCTGCCGTTTATAGTATACAACTTACAGTTTAAACCTCCAATCATGACTTCTCTGAGATGTTACATCACATCAGAGCCAAACATTGATAGCTGGAAGCAACATTTCGTGCTTCTTGGCTACTCATCAGCATGGTCTAGGCTTGGATCTCTCGGACAACGAACAAAAGCACAGCCACTATACACTATCAAGAGTGTGGAATTTATTGAAACAAGACAAGCGGAACTGGACTAGGAATAGCATAAAAATTCGGAAAATATAGAAACTGGAGAAAGTTAATAATGAAAAACCAAGCTGATGGTTGTAACACCACTGGCGGCATGCATAAAAACAAAAATCCAAGCAACCACTCACGGAAGGTGTAGTCGCTAAATATCCAAGGAATCTAAAATCTATACCGAAAATAAAAGCCAATTTTTATTCAAAAGCATTACAAATAAGTACAGTGGTACACTCAGAATCATGCACCACGTGTTGTTTAACATGCGTTCATCTGAATACATGTATGTCGTAAAAGGCACATGTCGCACTGATTGATTTAAATCCTTTCAGGCCGAGTAATGCGTGTAGACGGACATAATTATATTCTATGGCATGTTGGACTGTGCCTTGTGCTCACTGACTTACATAAATAAATTGCAGTGCCACAAATAGACGGTACCGTGTCTATGGGATAGCCGATAGAGACGAATCAGTTTCTTGATTCCGAGTTTTGGCCAAAGTGGACAGCAGAATCACTGATGATAGTGACAGTAAATATTTTCATAAGCATAGTTGTAGTCACCGTTCTTGGCGGGTAAAAATAAGAGGACTAGTATCTCTTTATGTATCTCCATCTCCCTTACACTTACACATGCAACCTACCCCTGTATGTGAACGTCTCTTTGGTAAGCTTAAAGACATATGTTCTTCAGTTATGTGTCTCCGTCTCGAAAACTTTGCCGTTACTTATGAGAGTGCCCTTCAATCATATTTGTCAGAGTGACAACTTACTTGACATCGGCGTGCAATTTGAGTTGTCCTGTTATCAATCTTCAATATAAAATTGTACAATGTCCGGAAATACGATCAATGGAGAAGGCCGAGAGCTCGTGCTAAATTTATTATATCTACTATTTTGGAAACTCCAGACTTTCGTTTTCGAGCGGCGAATGTGCAGCTTTGCTCAGTATTGAGCTACAGTTTTTATAGGGGATTTTGGAACCTCCTATTACATTTTTTTTTCTTGAGGATATATGTTCCTGATGATCCTTTCCACGTGATGAGGAATTTAGACAGAATGAATATTGGATACAATGTGTTGAGTCAAACACCAGAATATGACAAATCGTTTTTTTGGGCCAACTGATGTATCTTCTCTTAAGTGTCTGAAGCATTTACTTTAAATCTAAAAAGATGACATCATGTAAGTTGATTCTACACTTCTCAAGCAATGCTGCTACCAGTTCATAAAAGTCAAATTAGCGCCACAAACATTCGATACATGTCATAACTTCGCCAGAGCAGCAGCCAATTCGCGACAGGTTTAACTTATATCTTCGTTGAGCTCGATGTAAAATATTCATTAGTTCTAAGGGCTAATGTAGAAGGGTATCAATATATTATCGCCAAAAAACTATTATATATCCCTATTCATTACCTCTCAAAATGATATCCACAAATGCACAATAATAATTTCTGATACATCAAAAAAACGAATGAACCTTTTTTGCTTTCTCGTTCTTGCTCCCTTACCTACAAAGCTTGTTTTTCATTGGCAAAGTAGTACCCTTGTATTAATTTCATTAAAATCAGAGTAATATGTTCCATGTTATAGAGGGGCCATTGATCAACGAACAGACCGTCAGATAGACAGACCGACAAAAGTGATGTGACAGTTTTTTGTGATGTAATGTCATGAAACATCAAAGAAGCGTAATCTCATTTTTGAAAATTTTCCGGGATTATTTCAATACACTAATAGCTTCTTTTCATTTAAACAAAAATATCCCTACATGCTAAAATTGTCCAGACTTTTTGATCCTGAAAGAAAATGGCTTAATTTCAAATGTTAAACTGTCCGAGCGACATTGCAGAGGCAGCTATTAAGGTCATGTCAGCTGAAATGCAAATGCCTATCACGACTGGGACCACGGCCAACAAGATTTGATAAGGTAAATCGGATCCGAGAAGCACACAGACCGTGAAACATGGCGAACGGTACAACACAAATAACCGTGATGAAGCTTATTCACAGACAAGTGGCTGATCGAACTGGTTCGGTATCAAGAAATATCAGGAACGGTGAATTATAGTTCATCTTATAATAACTTCTTCCGACTAAGTATGTATGAAAGCATATTTCATATGCTGATTTGAATAATCTACGTGTCTGAAAAAAAAAACAAGAGAATGTTCCAGACAATCAATTGTTAAACTGAAAAAATGGCATCCAGTAAGTTGATTCTGTACTTTCCACGCGACACTGCTATCATCCTCGGCACAAGTTAATACCTCTTAGAAAAAGTTAACTACGAACATGACAAGTCAAGTGGGCCCATAACAATTAGTCTAGCATATATGACGATGTCGAAGTTTCTCGTCTGCCCAACCGACCATCCCACAAAGTTGCGTTCATATTGGCATATTATAAAGATGTCCATCTTTCTTCCAAGTCTTAGGAGTTAGAAGCGTATGAAGCGTGTGAGGTCAAAAAACTGAAATATATTCTCCCCAGCCGCTACAACCCCTCACCCCTTAAAATCCCAAATCTATTACTCATCATTTACATCATTTACAATAAGATGCAGAACGCCAGAATCGTCAACAAGTGAGGTTTGACAATTTTTGTTCTCTAATATTTGCATATTTATTTATGGTTTTCTATACTAAGATTTGCCACTTTGCACACGAGCAAGGAACTGGGAAAATAAATGCACACAAACTAGCTAAGCTGTTAAAATACAATTTTTTTGAGGTGGAAAATATGTCATTATACCGTATCCAGTTCTGTGGTATCTAGCTTCACTGAACTATCCCATCCAGAAGGTAATTCGTAGATCGCAGATCGGCAATTCTGCGGAAAACCTAAACGTGCACGACTCGGTTGCCTCATTTATGGATTTTCGTGACACGAAGCATGAAACACCGTATGTATATTTAGAATAGGGGTGTCAAGTTCACGATACAACCACACTACTTGAGTTGGGTTGTTTCACTAAAACGCTTATCCGCTTCAGCAAATGAAACATCGATATCCGAGTAGGGGTGTAACAGACATTATCCACTTTCTCAAATTCCCAAAAATGATCTTTTAAGGTTAATTTAACATATTTTGGTTGCAGTATGCCATCACAACTTGCCACGCCTTTTTTTGGTTATTTAATGTCAGTCGGAACTTGTTTTGCTTGACCACCACACAAAAGGAGAATCTAACAGAGATGACGAAATTTAAGTAACAGTACACACAGAGAGAGCCAAATAAACAAGATATCACAATATATTGATTAAAAAAAAAAACAAAACACACATGTGCTCCACCACTGAAGTGCGAGTAATGAAAAAGAGAAAGTCTGTTACAAATCTTAAATATGACCTGACAAAATTATTTTTCGAGATAACCTCGCGAAGCGTCTACCATAGTATACGCCCGAAGTATTTACAGATATTTGGCGCTTAAATACTAAACCAGTACGTCTTCTTTGTCAGGCGCGGCCGAGATGCCCTCGAATCTGTTAACATCAGGGTTTTTTCAGGGGGATGGCTTCCAATTTGCAAAACTGCAACGATGCAACTGACTGAGGGAGAAACGAAGATGATTTTCTTCTGTTTCGCTGAGGGTCAAAATCCCATAAAAAATGGAAGACGTAGCACCCAAACGAAATTAACTAAACTTAATTTACACAACAAAAAGAAAAGGGTGCTAGTCTATGAATGGGCGCTTGGGGCCTAATATCCCAAAGTCCGGAAAACGACAAAACGACCCCTGCACCACGACCTCAACGGAAACTGAAAAGCGAATCACGCAGAATACGTAACGTTTTAGTGCAGTCCCACTCTATGTCTGTCGCTGCTGACCGGCAGATCGACGGTGGCTGGGGGAAGATGACACGACGCGAAGACGCCAAGGTTTTCAACCGATTCAACGCAGCGCAATAAGACGTTATATTTGTTTGTTACTTAAGATTGTTGGAATATATATTTATTACTGCAAGTAGTATTGATCGACTAACGGCTCACCATCCTAGACAACATCAGAAGTGTGTGTTTTACGGTGGTTCCCAATTTTAGCAAATATTCTGCAGGCTGTTGTTTGCTCAGAGATTGGACAAGATGCCAAAGCAAAAGCAAAGGAAATCCAGAAAACGAAGTAGAAGAGAACCTTCCTCGTCTTCAACAACCAGTAGTTCTTCCGGCAGTTCTAGCAATAGTAATGGGCATAAACATAAGAGATCCAGGTGTAAGTCAAGGGAAACCGTGAGTAGCGAACATTATTCTACTTTTACGAGGGCCGATCAGGGAATACATATTTCGATGGTAATTCCAGAATTTGATCCGAAAATTAATGACATATCAGAGTGGTTAGAGGTTATCAAATATAATGCAGATATTTACAAGTGGCCTGATAGCCTTATTAAGTGTCATGCTTTGAATAAACTCAAGGGTACAGCCAAAACCTGGTATGACAGTTTCATTCAGGGTGACTTGGGGTGGTCTAGTTATGCTTGGGGCCAGTGGGAGGATATATTGAAAAATACATTCCAGAGTACACGTAATGCTTATCAACTGTTGATGGAAATGGTAAATCATAGACCCAGCGAAGGTTGTTCGTTATATGATTTTTGTTTTGAACACATAGCGAGAATAAATAAGTTACGAGTAGGATTTTCAGATTGTGACAAGGTATCATTAATTATAGGTGCTATAAATGACGTTAATATAACATCAGCTGTGGAGGCAGCAAATATTCGAAATCCTCATATTTTGGCGGCATATCTGAAGAACAAAACTTATACTGGTAGGGGCAAACCGTTAAAATCAGAGGTGCAACAGTCAATCAATCAAAGTGGTCGATTGGGAGCATCTGACAATATAGTCCGGTCAAGTACGATACATCAAAATGTAAATTGCACCACAGGTGGCAACAGAGGTCACGAGCGGAATGATTGTAAACATAGAAATAAGATATGCAATTTTTGCAGAATTAAGGGGCATATTGAGGTGAATTGTTTCAAGAAACGAAAGAACTCAAGTGAACCAGGCAGATGGGATAATTCAACTAAGTCTTCAAAAGTAAAACAAAAAATTGAACAGGTCAAATTAATTAAAAGTCAGAATAGTGCTTCAAAATTTTTCAAAAAAATATTTCTTGATGGGAATTTAATAGAAGCTTTTGTGGATTTTGGTAGTGATTGTTCTCTAATAAAATTGGCAATAGTGCAGGAGCTAGGGTTAACGTTGAAACCTCTTGGGGAGAAGGTAACATTGTCAGGATTTATGGGTATAGGGACTGTTGTTACGCAATTTGTTGAGGTAATGACCCAAATTGATCAGGTGAAACTTAATACAAAATTTTATGTGGTTTCTAATGAAAGTGTAGACAATGATGTTCTTGTTGGGAGAAATTTCACAGAAAATAATACTATTATGTATTATCGTATAGATGACAAGTTGATATTCAAAATAAAGGACAAAAAGCCACAGTGGTTGCAAAATGTCAAAACAGGGGTGTTGTCAGAACAAGATAATAAGACTCTGCAGGATATTCTAATTCAATATCAAGGTTGTATATTTTTGAATTTGAATAATTTGGGGAAGGCACACTCTGTTTCATTAAAAATAGAGTTGGTCAATGACAAACCAGTCACTCATAAGACCTATCGATTAGCAGAGATAGAAAAACAAATCATGAGAGGTAAGGTACAGGAACTTTTGGAGGCTAAAATCATACGTGAAAGTAATTCACCATATGCCAGTCCTGCTCTTCTGGTCAATAAAGGAACTAATGACAAACGACTAGTTGTCGATTACAGGGCGCTAAACAAAATAACTGTTAAAAATAATTTTCCAATGCCATTAATCGAAGAAATTATTGATAATTTGAGTGATTACAAGTATTTTACCTCGCTTGACCTAGCATCAGGTTACCATCAAATACCGATGGAGCCTGCTTCAATGAAGTATACAGCGTTCATAACACCTGAAGGGCATTTTGAGTACGTTCGTATGCCGTTTGGGCTTTGTAATGCCCCATTGGTATTTCAGAAATTTATGAATGAAATCCTTATGCCTTTAAGAAAATTTAATGTGGTTCCTTATTTGGACGACATCTTAATACCGTCAAAGACTATAGAGGAGGGGTTAGATTTATTGCCTAAGGTACTGAAAATTGTACAGGAGTATGGTATTGTAATAAAAATCGAAAAGTGTTCTTTTCTTACAGAGAAGATAGTTTATCTAGGATATCAAATCTCATACAATCAAATATCACCATCCAACCTGAAAATTGAAGCGGTGGAACAATTTCCTTGTCCTAAGACACAACATCAACTGAGACAGTTCTTGGGTCTCGTCGGCTATTTTCGGAAGTTCTTAAAAGATTTTGCGCGAATTACCGCCCCATTGACGAAGCTATTAAAGAAAGGAAGTCGGTGGTCTTGGACAGAAGTTCACACACAAATAGTCAAAGATTTAAAAGCCAAAATTTGTGCAGAACCTATTTTGGCAATATTTAATCCAAAAGCACTGACAACCGTATATACGGATGCTAGTCGTGATGGTTTTGCAGGAATTTTGATGCAAAGTACAGATGGTAAAGAGAGACCAATAGCGTATTTCAGTAGGCAAACTAATACCGCTGAGAAAAATTATCATTCTTTTGAGTTGGAACTATTAGCAATAGTCAAAACTTTGGAACGGTTCAGATTTTATTTAGTAGGCTATCAGTTCCAAATTTTTACTGATTGCAATGCGGTAAAGAACGCATTATCTAAGCAGTCGATAATTCCAAGAATTGCTAGATGGGTCTTGTCTTTACAAGAGTTTTCTTTTACCATTCACCATAAAGCAGGTACTCAGATGCAACATGTAGACGCACTTAGCCGAAACTTTAATGAATCTCAAAACAAAGCACAAGTCCTACTCATCCAAGAAGATGACTATCTCAGGGAAGCACAGGATCAAGATGAATCCATAGTGGAAATTAAAAATATTCTTTTAAGTGGGGATGTTCAGAGTCACAAAGATGTTTTTAATAATTACGATTTAAGGGGGAACAAAGTCTATAAGTTAACACCTTATGGGAGAAGATGGGTAGTCCCAAAGAAGTGTAGATGGCAAATCGTCAAAGCAAACCATGACGATATAGGTCATTTTGCGGTTGATAAAACGTTAGAGAAAATTAAGCAACGGTATTGGTTTCCCAGAATGAGGCATTTCATAACAAAATACATAAATGCATGTTTACCTTGTTTATATTATAAAGATAAAGGGGACAAAAGACCCGGGTACCTTCACTCCATCCCAAAGTATGCTAGACCACACCACACACTACATATAGATCATTTAGGACCTTTTGTGAACACAAAACAGGGAAACAAGTATTTAATAGTTGTTGTTGATGGCTTTTCGAAATTTGTGTATTTAAAAGCAGTTCCTGATACATCTGCAAAATACGTAATTCAAATGTTAACTGAAATGTTCGCGATGCTCGGTAACCCAAGACGACTCATCACGGATCTTGGATCTGCGTTTACTTCAAAGGCCTTCGAGGAATTTGTTGCTGCAAGAGGGATACGGTTATTTACAACAGCTGTTGGTCTCCCAAGAGGCAATGGTCAATGTGAGCGGACGAACAGAACAGTTCTAGACGCTTTAGCAACATCTGGTTCGCAAACAAGTGAAGACAATTGGGATACTAATCTTTCACATATACAACAAGGACTGAATAGTACTAGACACCGTATTACACAAAACACGCCCGCAGAAGTAATGTTTGGTTTCCAACTACGGACTGATAGTGACAAATACCCTGATGACGATATGGAAACAACTCTAGATGTTACAAAAATCCGAAAAGAGACAGCCAAACGTCTGGAACACAATAGAATCGAACAAGATTTAAAATTTAACACTAAACGTTCTCTACCTAGGTTGTACCAGGTGGGAGATGTGGTATTAACTAAAGTAACCAGCTTTTCAGCGAATGAAGACAGTAAAAAGTTACGTCCTAAGTTTAGAGGACCATTCAAGATAGTTGAGGTTCTACCCAATGACAGGTATAGAGTGCAAGAAGATCGTTTCACACAGAGGTCAAGACGACCATATCAAGCTGTGGTAGGTGTGGAACACATGAAACCCTTCAAAGTTCAAAATCAATAAGGTGAGTAATGAACTACTCAAATGTTACGCCCTCAATGGCATCTGTTCTGCTCTCAATGGCAAATGTTACGCCCTCAATGGCATCTGTTCTGCTCTCAATGGCATCTGTTCTGCTCTCAATGGCAAATGTTACGCCCTCAATGGCATCTGTTCTGCTCTCAATGGCAAATGTTACGCCCTCAATGGCATCTGTTCTGCTCTCAATGGCAAATGTTACGCCCTCAATGGCATCTGTTCTGCTCTCAATGGCAAATGTTACGCCCTCAATGGCATCTGTTCTGCTCTCAATGGCAAATGTTACGCCCTCAATGGCATCTGTTCTGCTCTCAATGGCAAATGTTACGCCCTCAATGGCATTGTTCTGCTCTCAATGGCAAATGTTACGCCCTCAATGGCATCTGTTCAGCTCTCGATGGCAACTGTTACGCCCTCAATGGCAAGTTTTGCTCTCGATGACGAATGGTCGTCCTCGATAGCAAATGGTGTTGATGGCAATAGGTATAGGTGTTTCCTAAATAACTTAATATTTTCAGACGTTCGGGACGAACGTGACGTCAGGATGGCCGTGCAGTCCCACTCTATGTCTGTCGCTGCTGACCGGCAGATCGACGGTGGCTGGGGGAAGATGACACGACGCGAAGACGCCAAGGTTTTCAACCGATTCAACGCAGCGCAATAAGACGTTATATTTGTTTGTTACTTAAGATTGTTGGAATATATATTTATTACTGCAAGTAGTATTGATCGACTAACGGCTCACCATCCTAGACAACATTAGGAGGAATCTTGAGTGGCCTTGAAGAATATATGTTTTATAGGAAGCCAACTAACGGAGAAAAACTGCAGAGTTTTTTGCTGATCGTCAACACCATACTGAATCGCTGAGAAAGAAAGATACATATATGTAATACGAGTGAAATTACACAATCAATAAACTATTAAATTTGCAAAAAGAAAATCATTGAAAAGGGTTTGGCCTAGGAATGGGCACTCTATTATTAATGAAGAGAAATTCAAATTACTAATAAGTGATAAATAGAAAAAAAGGTTACGTGATTTTGGCACGTGACAAACTAAGCAAACTAAAATTGCAAAAAGATACATTTGAGAAAAATGCTCTGGAGAATGCGAGTTTTGCTTCCCAAGGCTGCGTCATACTTACGTTCAACGAAAAAAATGTTTACGGCAGGTGAAATCCTAATTTGGAATTTGGAGTTAAAATTAGATAGGCAGTATAAAATGGAGTCAATTAGGTTGACTCTGCACTTCCTACGAAACGCTGTTATCAGTTCACAAAGGATCATGGTCTGCACAAAAAAATTAAATAGATCAAGTTAGTCAAACAGGCGCATTCAACTGAAATTTGCATATATGTTTTTCTGTACCATTTTGGGGCTCTTCTGGATTTGGCTCCTTTAGAAAATATGCTACTCCTCGCTCTCAAATTTTGGAGGCAGGAACGCTTTTAAACAAAGTTATCTTTTGCCGATGGATGGCCTTCCCCCTTCCCCTGAGAAAAATTCCTGGCGTGGATGACGGTCGACGGTCCACACCCAGTCTAGCAGCGGAGGCAAATTGCTACATACACGCATCAACAGAACCATATGATGATATCGACACTCGAGGTTCGACAATATTTCTCAAGGACAAATGTACGGGGAAATCTATCTAAAAATCTGCGCCTCCACTGAATCGATTTTCAAAAGCTATAAAGCTTTTTCGTCCTTGACAGTAGATTTAATTATTTGACTTTGAAAACAGCAGCTTTTGTGTGTATAATATGGATTCACTTTAAAATGGTTTTCTTCTTATTCACAACGTACGTGGTGTGCGGAGTATGCCTCGCGACTGTTTTGATAAGAATTTTTGACTTTTCCTCAATTCCAGCTCATTTAAGTAATTCTGATGATTTAAATAATCACTTTGCATCGTTTTCACAATATGTTACATCTGTTTGCGACAAAGAAATCGAATTTTCTTCATCTAATGTTCATAATGCTAATTTAAGCTTCCAGTTCAGGATGATAACTGTCGAAGAAGTGCACACAATTTTGCATAGCTTTTGGTGCCGATGACATTAATGCGAAATGCTCAAATTGTGCAGCGCTTTCATTGATAAATATATATAGTGCATATTATCAACTGCTGCATAGAGATGTCTTATTTTCCAATTGTATAGAAATCTGCTAATTGGTATCCCTATCCCTAAAATAAATAATCTTGCGGAATTCTCCGATCTTAGGCTTATATCACTTCTACCAGCTGTTTAAAATTTTTTGAAAAACATCTATATATACAAATTTATGAATACTTTTCAGTCCATGGTCTACTTCCTGAGTGCCAGTCTAGATTCAGAGCTGGAAGAAGTACTGAAACATCACTAGATACGGTAACCACAGATATTTTAATGGCGTATAATCAAGGTTTGTCTAGCGCTCTTGTTCTTTTGGATGTTTCCAAGGCTTTTGACACCATCAATCATGAATTGTTGTGCTCAAAGCTCAAATGCTATGGTTTTACTAACTCCTCACTGTTTTTAATATGGAGCTACTTACTTAGACGCTCCCAGGAAATTCATATTAATCTTTCTCATTCGGCAAGCACATACACATCAGAAATCCTAAGAAAGATACAAAACGTCAAGGTACAATCGTACGCTGACGATATTCAAGTTTACTTTAGCTTTTCCATGAAAGGCAGAGCTGCAGCAGAACGAAATCTGAATGAAAAGCTTCAATCGATAAACACATAATCACAGCAGCACAACCTAAAGTGCAACTCAAAGAAGACAAAAGTAATACTTTTTGGCAATAAAAATAATATAAATATTTTAAAGGACACTCTTTCGTTGGAAATTACAAGCGTAGTGCTTAGTTTCTGAGATTCTTCTCGTAGATTAGGCTTAACTGTTGATCCAAGCCTTCGTTTCTCACTCCATATTCAAACGCTTGTAAATAAAGCATTTAGTTCCCTTAAAATCTGTTATGACAGTCGACATTTCCTAAGTAAAAAACTAAAAAAACTTTATGTGGACCTTGGTGCTTAGTAATTTCAACTATTGTAGCTTTATTTTTGGGCCGTGCTTGACTAGTGCAGACATAACGAAAATACAACGGGTTCAAAATAGCTGCTTTAGGCTGGTATACGGAATTAGGAAGTATGACCCCGTATTACACAAAATCAGAGACTGTGAATGGCTTAACATGAAAAATAGGAGACTCCTTCACTTGTGTAATTTTACTCATAAACTGGTAATAACTCCAAATCCTCCAGGTCTGATCAAACATTTCAAACCTCGCAATGATACTCATCATCAAGATATAAGATCAAAATTACACCGTTCCGCAGCATAAGACCGCCATGTTTAGAAGATCGTTCATATATATATATATATATATATATATATATATATATATATAATGCTATCAGGATGTATAATCAGCTGTCACAAGAATTCAAGCTTCTTAATATGAATAAATTCAAATTCAAACTAAAACGTTATTTGTTTGATATGCAGTAGGATCAATGATGCAATGTATATTCAACTTTTTATTTATTTATTACTGTGTAACTCTTACATATATATATAGGTGAATAATTAAAGCTTCCGCCTTTTGCTGGGTACTTCGACAAAAATTTTAAGCAAAGAGGACTCTTTATACTTTTTTTATTCTCTCTAGCTTTCAATGGACTTTGCCATCATCATCTGGAGCTGCAATTACATTGATAACAGTAGCAACAATAGTGTAAAATGAATTTAAATTAACATATCTTACAGTAGTATGTGAGGATGTTGCTAATTGTTGTTTACGTTCAGGATGAGGGAAACACCCAGTAACATGGTGAAAGCTGGATAAATGGTACAATGGTCAAAATTATATAACATACACACAACTGTGTGACGAGAACAAGTTGTTTTTAACTTTAACAGATTAAAAATTTTTAGAACATCAAGACTGGCGATAATGTGATCGGTGATGTGGTGTCGCTATTCAGCAATATCTATCTGGATGCATGTACAAGAACTATTAATAAACACTGGAATGAGATAAGTCAACACTGCAACATATCTCTAGAATCGTTCACCAACATTATAACATTCCTCTTTCATAACAACTATTTCTCTTTCAACAACAAAATATATTCTTAGACACATGGTTGTCCTATGGGATCTGTTCACCAATTTTGGCAGAATATGTCATGGATGATCTGCTTGATACTGTTATTCCGACACTACCCTATAACCTCTTCTTCATAAAAAAATACGTAGATGACATTATTTTATGCCTCCCCTCCAGAGGTCTGGATGGTATTGGAGAATTCTACAGCTATGACCCCTACATCCAATTTACTATTGAAAAAGAAGATGAGAACCTGTCTGTCCCCTTTCTAGACACAAGACTCATCCGCACCAACAACAATAGTTTATTGGTAGACTGGTACCAGAAACCTATGGCTTCAGGCCGGTTTCTCAATTTTAGGTCATACCATAAGCTACGGATTAAAATCAACTTGGTGAAACAGATGAAAACAAGGGTAATCAGCATCTCAGATAATACTTTCCACACTTCAAATTTACGTAAACTATCAAAACTGTTCATTAACAATGGTTATACGAAGTGTCTGATTAACAAGATCTTATTTAGCTCACCTCCCAGTATTTTGCCAAACTCTAATGATACAAGTAATAGTCTCACAACCCCTAATAACATAACTGATAGAATTCCCAACAACAACACCGATTCAAACAGAACAACCACCATCCCAAATTCCAGACCTGGCTTTGCTGTCCTACCCTATATCAAGGAACTGACCCCTAAGCTGATCAGGTTATGCAATACATTGAACTGTCGAATTGCTTGCAAATCCGTCCTCAATATAAACTGCATTTTTTCAAAAATGAAAGACAGAGTCCCGCTGCTTGGGTTAACCAACACAGTCTACTCTATCAATTGCAACAATTGCAACCAAATATACGTATACATAGGTCAGACCTCCAGATCTCTTAAAGGACGGATTACATCACACAAAAGTGATTCTAGGCTTCATCCTGAAAGATGTGCTCTAGCATCTCATGTTAACACAACCTGGGCACTCTATGAACTACACAAATATCAAAGTTCTCGATAAAGAAAAACACCTATCCAAACGTTTATCCCTGGAACTGTCCCACATTTTCATGAATAAAAACTGTATCAATAAAAAGACAGATGTTAAGCAACTGAGTGTCATTTACTCATATTTGCTAAACTGCGAAAAATTGGAGCACTTACACATCTCCCCAAATTTTGACTCTTCACAACCATAAATGGAATCTGTTTCTTGGTCTATTCCACTAATAAACTTCATTCCATTCAGATTTTAATAATTTTTTCCTCACGATTTAATAATAAAATTGTTAATTTAATTGCCCATTAATAAAGTATAGTCAATTCAACTGCCTCTGGTCGGTTTGACAATTTCTTACATAACACATTTTGAATATCACATCATCTGAAGTGATTTGGCAACGTAGCACACGCCCACAAAATAATTCGTTCCATCATTCTACACAGACACTGACAACCTTCGGCCATCTGTCAAAGGGTTCATCTTACTCATTATTCCATGCCCACCATTTTGTGCAATCATCAAGTGGCTTCACGATCA